CTTCCTGCAATTCTAGTCAAACAGGTTAACCAATTGGTAGACATCTAAATCACTCCTGCTACTGCAGCTAAAATCATTTTTTAACTAAACTTTTACAGTTTATGGTCCAGACAAGGGTATCCTACCTAGTCTTACAAAAATGTTATTCAGAACTCTCTTCAATTCTAAATTATTTAATTATTGCTTGACTGAATCTTGTTTTCCTGCCTGCTGGAAATCGGCATCTATTACTTTGGTAATGAAAATTAACATTGAAAGTGAAAATTCACATCATTCCATTCCTATCAATTATTAAAAAACAATTTAAAAAATAAAACTGCAAATCATTTATTTATCACCTAAATCACTGACTGCAGGACCGTTTTATAAACTGTAAGGGATATAGGCAATACGTAATAACACAATTCAAAAAATCTAAATTTAGTTAAAGTTATCCATGCTTGCTTCATATGGTGAAATATATGGGAAAATTTTTGAGATTATCAAACCATTTCTTTTTAATCACTATATTAAAATCATCCTTAACACCTAACTTAAACACCCACTTAACACCCAACACTCTTCTTCATTATCAGTAATTTTTGGGGTACTTCAAGGTTCTTTTCTTTGGTCCTGTATTGTTTCTTATTTACATCAATAATCTTCCTCACATCTAAAGTGGCTCTATTTTATATTCCTGTCTTGACAAAAAGTCTTCTCTTTTAAAAATTCACAAACCAATGCTAACCAAAACTTAAACATTTACTGCAAACAACTCAATATTGTTGACATTTTTATATTACTAAATTGCATCCCTCTCATTGAATCCACTTCTTTACATCTTCATGGATTATCATTAACTATTGACCTCTCACAAAAACTATATATTGATTGCAAAGTCAATGTATATTGATATATGGTTTTTGCAATTGATTGCAAAGTTAGCATTAACTAAGGTTGCTTTTCTTTATCGTGCTCACCATTATCTTACTCCTGATTCCTTTCTCTATCTCTACAAATCTCTTACTGGTCCCTGTATGGTACATTGGTACCATATTTGGGTTGGTGGTTCTAACAATACTTTTTCTCTTCTAGACAAGTCCGAAAATGTATTATAAATGTAGTTGATCTGCCAAGTATGAGCCACTCTCCCATTGTCATAAGATTGTATCTCTTTCTCTTTTCTACAAATACTATTATGGTCACTGCTCAAATGAGCTATCATCTATAGTTCCAATAATCAAAACTCATTCTTGCTTGACACGTCATTCAGCAAATTTGCATCCATTTACCATATCTGTCTCTTCGTGCTCTTAAAATTTGTATTCATCTATAGCTTATATCTCAATGCTTTGGATCTCACCCATCTTCATTTGGACTTTAGACTCACCCATCTTCATGTTTTCCTGAATCATACAATCTTTAACTTTTTATGTCTTCTGTCAACCATTTTATTGCTCTTTATCACTATTCTTTGTTTCCTAGCAACTCCAATCTTAATTGTTTTCTAGCAACTTCAATCTTAATATTAATTGCATTCAGGAGTGATTTACTATTAAAAAAAAAAAAAGGCAGTTTTCCTTTTCCTTTCTTTGTATCATAGATGAGTATTTGAATTTATGAAAATCCCGGAAAATTGTTTTATTAAAACAATTAAACTTTGATAATCCTGGAAAATCCCGGAAAATTGTTTTATTAAAAATTGATCGCATTTAACTGACAAACGGAATTTAGATTATTTTAAAACGGAATTTATACTAATTAATTTTTTACAAAAAGGAATTTCTAATATTCGAAAAAGTTTGAATTAATTTAAAAGCAAAAAAAATGAAGAAAAAAATTGTTACAAAAATCGATCTTGTAAAAATTTTAATTATAGAAAACATATTTGTTTAAATGCAAAAGTTGTCGTATGTAAAATTTTATGTAAAAATATATTAATTTTTTTTCAAATTAATGTCAAAAAAACATCCGGAAATTCCTGGAAAAATTAAAGGTGTTTTATGTGAATTTCCGGAATTCCGGGAATTTCCGGAAAAAACTCATCTATGTTGTATGCTGCCTTAGTGATTTTTATATGCTACTTAATTTTGATGGTGACCAATTATCAACTATAAATACTTTACAAAACTTTACAAAAAAAGTACAGTCAACAATTGCCTTACAACAGCATGACTAGGATGGTCCCTGAAGTCCCCTGCTTTAAGTACAAAAGTAAAGAAATGCTTACATTTTGTGCAAATTTGATGCAATACCATCCATACATGACGCTGCCAAAGTAAAAGTTTGAAAATAATGCATTATATTTCTTCTTTACTTTTCTAAAATATTTTCAAGTTTTCTTTGATTGAAAACTTCAACTTTTCCTTTTTTTTTTTCTAATTGCATTTTTTAAATTGAGCTTCTTTTCTATCTTCTTCTTTTGTAATTTCTGATACTTTCCTGATTTAAAAGGATTCTTTTGTTTTCCTCCTTACATGAGTGAATTTTAAGGACTTGTAATAATATTTTGAGTTGTTTAAAGAAGAAATATTAACAAAAGTTGTTTTTCAACATTTTTGCACATTTTTTGCTGCAAAACAATTTTTAATAGTTTCTTTGTTTAATCTAACATAAAACAAGAAACATTAGTTTTATATAAAATTGTAAAATGACAAAACAAGTTGTATAATTGAAATTTTTTTTTGCGTGATCAGTAAATTGATGCACATGCACACATTGATTTAAAAAAAAAAGAAGACAAAATATGAAGTTTCATGGTGTTATATAAATGTTGTATTTCATGGTAGGGTGTTCCATAAAATAACATTCTTGAAAAATATATATGCTGGTACCTCCCCTTTTTTTATCATATAGAACACATTAGTGTTCTATATGATAAAAAAAAACACTAATTTTAAAAAATTTTCAAATAAAAAATATTTTCAGGGGTCCCCCAAGACCCTTAAACAAATAACAAGTTATTAATATTATCAAAAAATAGTTATTCAAAAGTGTATCATGTTGGGTCTCAAATGAAACAAAATTATATGAAAATTTTAAAAATGATAACTGTATTTTATAAAAATAAATATGCTAGATTTAACAGCATAAAAAAAGAAGTTTATTAAAACTATAAAAAAAAAAAGTGTATTTTCATCAATTTTTTTGACAATAGTTTTTCTTCAATAAGTTCTTTATAATATAATTATTATTTTTGAAATTTTCATATGATTTTGATTCATTTGTGATCCAAAAATGATTTTTTAAAATAAAATTAGGAACGTGTTACATGTTCAAGGGTCTTAAGAGACCCCTAAAAATATTTTTTATTCAAAACTTTTAAAAAACCAGTATTTTTTTTATCAAATAGACCACAATAAGGGGGTGCTAGCAAACATTTTTCAAAAATGTTGTTTTTTGGGACACCCTACTTTTATGGTGTTTACTTAAAAAAAGCAAGAAATCCACTGGTTTAGAAATTGATTAAATAAAAATTTTGCTTGATACAGAAAAATGTTATGACTACAAATTTTAAAAAAATTCAGTTTAAAGTGAAGTAAACTTTTTTCATATATTAGCCTTGACCTACAATGAGTCTTTTTCTACTGTGGTCAATATGGTTACACTTTTTATATCAATTGGTATAATCACTATCTTTTTATTCTTTAACTTGAATATTCACTTTTCACTGGAATGTAGTTTTAAAATGAGCAAAATATTTTTACCAATCAATACTAAAATATTCAAAAAAGAAAAACATTTATAAATTACAGAATCCATTTTTCCCTTAAAATCTGAAGAAAAAAAAAATTAACTTAAAAAATAAACTTAAAAAAAGAAGAATTTTCAAAAAGATGACAAACACCCTACTGCCATACAACTGGGAATTTGCTAAAAGGCTAAATAGAGGCTAGTTAACACACTGTTTAAAGTAGATGGATAAATATATAAATATATTTTTAGATTATAGAGATAAATATATCCAAAAACAACTTATTTTAGTCAATATCAAAGAACTCCATATTGAGTTTTAAAAAAAAACATGATTATCTTAATAAAAGATTTTCAAAATTTTGTGAGTTAAAACCTAAGTAGCTTATACCTGTGGGTGGTGCTTCTAACCTGCATAGGGTAGGAAATTTCCTGTGACAGGGCTGCATCACAACGTAAAAACAATAATAACAATTTATACTATCATAAACAAAATTTTAACAATACTGCAGAGTGGCACTTTTTTTGCAGCATTGAATGATTAAAATCTTAGTGATAAAGTTAATTAAGGGTTGTTAAGCCACTTAACAACCCTTAACAACTTAAATTTTCATTAAGATTATCATAATAAATTTTTAAAAATCTACAAAGCTATAGACATTTAACTGCATTGTTTTTTAAGTTATCATTTTATAACAAATACCATTAATTCAATACAACTATTTATTTTGTTATAACTTCTAAATTTTAAAAAATTGAACAGTTTTAAATTGTTTTCTTGGAAAAATCATTTGGGATAATAAATAAGTATCCATTAATAAATGGAATATTAAGGATATTGGGATAATAAATAAGTGGGATATTAGGGATATTAGATATTGGGATAATAAATAAGTATCCATAAATAATTGGGATAATAAATAAGTATCCATTTTTTGATTTTTATTAATTATCACTCTTCAATTGATGCATATACAAATATCATAGATAAACTTTCAAAAAATCTTGATTAAGCTCACTTAGATTAAAGCAAGAAAAGCAATGAGCAAAAAAAAAGACTTATAAACTAAAAAGTGTAATTAAAAAATGAAAAATTAATTTAAAATAATTATCCTAACTCACTAGCTTTAAAATTAGAAACAAGTGACTCAAATATATATATTTTTAATTTTACCTAAAATCTTAAAAGATTTACCTTTTAACAGAACAGCCTGAACAGGTTTTGCTATTTTTTACTCGTTTTAATATAAGTTTCAATAGTATGCAGTAAATTAAAAAAAAAACTTATAGTTTCATTTGTGTTTACAAAAATAATAAATATTTCTCACATTTGTAAAAACAGCTTGAGCATAATTATCTGTGTCTGAATCCCACAAACAACGAGCAGCAACTCTAAACAATATTAAAAGATATTATTTTACATATCAAATTAACTTATAAAAATAAAGTTTATAACTTTTTAATAATTTAATTATATTATGGTGAATATATATGTATATACTTGACTCCTTCTCCTCTTTGCTCACCGATAACAGTTTGGACAACAAATTTATAGCGATCATAATCTAAAGCTAAAATTAGAAAAAAATTGATTACAAAATAATTCCCTATATGTATCTATATTTACGAACAACTTTAAATTATTGTACTAAGTAGAGTGCTCAATGTTCTTAAAAGAATAGAACAATAATAAATATATATATAATAATATATATATACTAATATATATATATATATATATATATATATATATATATATATATATATAATATATATATATACGTAGAGAACTTATTCAACATTTTAAAATTCAATATGGCCATGATAAAATAAATTGTGTTACAAACAATTATGAAGGTTTTTCTGAAGGTCCGTATTTACGACAAACCAAATTCAAAATGAAAAAACTTTTTTGCAAAAACACCTTTGATATCACTTTTTCCAAAATCGAGTTGTAAATGGGTGGAATAACTTACCATCTGAAATAGTAGAAGCTGCATCAATAAATAACTTCAAAAATAAACTAGACAAATCTGAATTTTGCAGAAACTTTTTGTTAAAACAAAAAAAAACTGAGCTGTTACAGTGCAATATCTACCGTTATTGCACTTCACAACTGTTAACACCAGTTGTTAGAGCTATACCTTGTTGTTATTATTACTATTATTATTATTATTATTATTATTATTATTATTATTATTATTATTATTATTATTATTATTATTATTATTATTATATATATATATATATATATACATATATATATATATATATATATATATATATATATATATATATATATATATATATATATATATATATATATATATACATATATATATATATATATATATATACATATATATATATATATATATATATATATATATATATATATATATATATACATACATATATATATATATATATATATATATATATATATATATATATATATATATATATATATATATATATATATATATATATATATATATATATATATATATATATATATATATATATATATATATATATATATATATATATATATATATATAACAAAACAAAAGACAACTTTTAAATAAACTTACAATATACTTAATATAATATAAATTTTTTTATTTAAAAAAAAGATTATAATAAAAAACTTATAATAAAATATTTAACTCTTTAACTTGGTTTTTATAGTCTCTGAAATATCTCTCGTTAGTTCTGTATTATTTTCACTGCAATACTGTTTGTTACTAAGTTTATCACTTAGAATTTCTTGGATGATGACTTTAACATTATCCACTCTAAATCTAAAATGGAAAATAAATACTATACATAATATAAATTTAGTATTAAATAGTAGTTTTAAATAATTTTTTACACTTTTATATGCATTTTATTAAAAATAAAATATTATTCAAATACTTAGATTTAAACATTAGGAATTATATACAAGTACAGATATTTAAAAAAAAATTTGAATAATAAATTTTTGTAGTTTAAAAACTATCAAAATTTAACTACTTTTTTTTAAAGTTTGGCCTTATCGTGTAATTATGTTCCTTATCTTTATCGACATATTCGGATGCGGTCATTTTAGTAATTAAATATGTTTAGAGAGGAATGTCCTCGACCGTTCGTCAAAACAGTATTTAGTAACTAACGACGTAAATAATTTGTTGTGGCGGAATAGTGTCGCAAAATTTTGATTGTCGGAAATTTTAATTGTCGGAAATTTGATTGTCGAAAATGTAAAAAAAGGGAAAATGGTTGTCGCAAATTGTCGCATTATTGATTGTCGAAGAACAGAAAAAAGAATAATGTCGCAAAAGAATTTAATAAATAGTGTCGAAAATAAAAAAAGGAATAATGTCGCAAAAGTGTTTAATGAATAGAGTCGAAAACAAACAAAAAAAGGAATAGCGTCGCAAATGAATTTAATGAATAATGTCGAAAATAGAAAAAAGGAATAATGTCTTATGAGTAGTAACAAAAATTTAAAAAAATAATAATAATAACTATAATTGTGTGTTTAGATGTATACATGTCTGATGTCATACTAAAATAGCCTGCTGCCTGGGGGCTTCAGTACATACACCAACTATCTTATATCCTGCTGCTGCAAAGGAGTACCGCTACATCTTCTGAGGGTTTGGGGTTTGATAGCATTTTTTGGTGTTTAAGATAACTAACTTCCAGACATGAGCAAACTCTGCTATACATGATTAAACTCCATACCACACATAATTAAAGTGGATGACAATATTATAAATAATTCTTAAACAAAAGCCCGCGAATTTTTTTATATAAATTCAAACTTATTTCTCTGAAACAATGACCTTTATCTACTATCTTCCAAGATGAAAAAAGAACTTCAAAATATATCTAAAAGGTTTAAATATAACAAGTTAACATTAAATGTAAGCAAAACAAAATGGATTTTTTCCACCCGCTCTCCATAAAACGTTCTTTACCCCCAAATCTACCTAAAATTCTTATTAAACAGTTTGAAGTTAAAAGAGTTTCTGTAACAAAATACCTGGGCGTTTTTATTTACAAGAACATCCATGGCCTACTTAAAATACTTTATTTTAAGTAGGCTATGGAACATCACATGGAAACAGCACATTAACTATGTCTGCTCGAAAATTTCTACAAGTAACGGAATTTTATATAAGGCCCGTGCTTACTTAAATAAAAATAATGTATCAAAACTTTATTACTCTTTTACTCATAGTTATATAAATAATGCAGTTATTGCCTGGGGAAGCACTGATCAAAGCAAGATACAATGTATAATGTCAAATATAATGTCTTGATTGCCGTTAGAAACGTGTTACCATTAAGCAAGTTTAACATGAAATTTAAGACCTTTTGTTCCCATCCTCCAATTATTGCAATTTTTTGCAAAGCATCTTTATTTGACATAAGTACAAACATAAAAATGTTTGGTGTTTGGAAGTTCTCAATCACCAAAATATGCTGGGTCCGTCACTGACCACCCGCCTAACATTAGACTGTTTTTTTTAAAAAACTATTCTTTACTTGCACACCGGGCATAGTTACGTTACATAACGTAATGACTTATGGGGTATTTTTTGACAGGATTAACTAAAAACCTGCGATTGCCCCGAAGATTAAATTACAAACTTTGTAGCACTACATACACACTTTCAATTGTATTAAGTATTTCGTCACAAAATTACATCGAGTAACGCAAAAAAAAGCTAAAATGTATATTTACCACAAAAGTAAGGCCAATAAATCTTCAAAGAAGGTTTGTTTCATAATGCTACATTATTTGAAAACAGAAGTCCCTTGCATCTAATACTTTTAAGTGATGTAACTTATACTATTTAGGTGTAAATGTATAATACTTTGTGAAAAAGAGATAATACTTTGTGAAAATAATACTTTGTAAAAATAATACCTTGTGAAAATAATACCTTGTGAAAATAATACTTTGCTGAAAATAATACTTTGTAAAAAAGCATAATACTTTGTAAAAATAATACTTTGTGAAAAAGAGATATTCAAACCTGTTTATCACTACTTCTTAGTCAGGGGTCACTCAATTCACTTGAGATTTTGGATGCATTAATCGTGTTGCGCATAAATTTGACACCCATCAAATCAGGATGCTAAAATACTTAAATCAATTAAATCAGCTTTTACTGTTCACTATTAAAAAACAACTTGATCTGCGCTCCCAACTGTAATCGCATGCCCATCTCAAAAAATAGATATCAACGAAAAGAATATGAATGACCTGAAGAAGTTTGCCAAATATACTACATGATTTTCTCATGATTTTTTTAATAATGAAATCCTTCAATGTCTTACAAACCTAACCGCCTGCAGCACCAATATATCATATGACAATCGAATTAAATAAAAACTCATAGAATAAGCTTGACCTATATGCATAGACACTATGTTATATGTTATAATATGTTTTATGTTATCTCGTTTTTCTTCAACTATTACTTCATTTTGTGTTCATCGTTTAATTGATATTTCAACTTTTTTCATAAACATAAAGATAATTTTTTATTTACAACCTAAAAAAGCTTTTTGTTTACAACCTACAACTGCTTTTTGTTTACAACCTACAAATGCTTTTCAAAATCAATATTATAGTCAAAAACTTTTTTTTTTAATTAAAAGTTTTACTTTATTGCAGAAACTCATTAAGTACACAAAACTTTAATAGCATAAAAAATACAAATTTTTAAGTTCACCCCAAGCATTGTTTATATTTGCAATACAACAAGAATCACTTTAAAGTTTAAATCACTTTTTTTTAGGAATGAAAATCTCCTGGAAATTTTTAACTCGGGAAATTTTCCAAAAAATATAAGTTTTTTATTAGTAATAGATAAAACTTTATGTCTTAATTATGCAATTGTTATGGACAGTTTTATCGTAAAATATTCTGAAGTAGATTATAAAATATTAGAAAGCCCATCTGAAAAACTCTTTTTTTGGTATTTTTTTTTTAGTTTTTTTATTGTAACTATAAGCAGCGTTTTTAAATAAATTATTATAATTTAACATGTAGCGCTACATGTTATAAATGCACTAGCTGTGTTAAAAACTGAGTTTTTCAGAGGGGCTTTCTAATATTTTATAATCTTAAAGAAACTCAGTTTTTTCATGTGTAAAGATTGCATATAAAACTTTAAAATCGATAGAAATATTTTTATGTAAAAAAATTGTATTTAAAACATTTTTATAAAAGCTATAGCTTGTGTAAAGCTATAGCTTTCATAAAAATGTTTTAAATGCAATTTTTTTACATAAAAATGTTTCTATCGATTTTAAAGTTTTATATGCAATCTTTACACATGAAAAAACTTAGTTTCTTGAAAATACATAAATAATACATAATAAAATTTGTTAATCTTAAAAGTATTTTAGTCTTTGTATTTTCTGAATATTTTACATCGTAGTTGAGAAAAGTAAAAGCTAGTCATATGTTAGTAAATATGTTATACACAATTATATGTTAGTAAATACTCAAGCTCAAAAGACAGGCTAGCTTGGAAATTATCTACTTTTCCTTGTTTCACAAAAGTAGTTTACATACAAGTATTATGTAACAACTTGGGCGTTTTATTGCTTTTTTAAAAAATGCGCGGTTCTTAAATTGATAAACTTGATTATAAAAATTTGAATAAAAAATGCATATTTTTCGCTTTTAAGTCTTTATTATTTTGTATTTTTAGTTGAAATATTTAAATAACACCTAAATATTACGATGATAAAACGCACATTTTTGAAACAAAGAAATTAATTTTATAAAACTGTTTAAACAAAAAAATATGGAAAATTTCCGGAAATTTTTAGCAAAATATCTCGGAAAAACTACCGGAAATTTTCAACCCTCCTGTTTTAAAAAGTTTTTTTTGGTTTTCCGAAAATTAAAGGAAATAATTGACGGGTTACTGATTCGTTTGTTTACGAGTTTTGCGGACTTGAAGTCACCATCTAACTTTTGGGTAAATGGAAACTTGTATCAACCAAATATGACTTGTGCATATATTTGTATAAAAAGTGACTCCATATTTTAATAACTTAAAAATTCAATTTAATTCATCACCCTTAAAAGGAAAAAAAAAAAGTTTTAACACATATTTTATTTTGCATATAACTATAAACGCTAAGTGACAACCTATTAAACTATGGCTAAAGAAATGCAGAAGTTTTATATATCGCATGGTATGTAGATTTGTTTTGGCTAATACAACTTTTTAAATGTTTAAAATGTCCTTAAACGATCTGTAATAATTAAGTAATAATTAACATAAACTATCTTTTCACCGATCACTCTTCCTGATCTTTGGACTTTCATGGCAATTATGTTACATAATATGTAATTGCCAAGAAAATTTATATAATTAACCAAATTTTTGTTATAATTTACTTCCTTAGAAAAGGTTTCGTCAAAGTCATTTGTTTTTTCTCTTTTTAGACATTGTGTGAACAATAGTTATTGTTAGGAATCTATGTGCATAAAGGAAGATGCAAGTTAACTTATATTTTTCCTTATTTCATAGGTTGTCTCATTGATTTTTTAAAATTAATACAATTATGACATTGTGTAATAAACCACAAATTAATTAACATTGCATTAGGCACTAAAAATTTGTACTAATTTTGAGGTTCAATTTTTAATATCAAATTTTATAATATAAAAATTTTATTATTTTTTACTTTTGAGTGAAAATCTATAGGGAAAAATGGCTCAGACAAAAAATTGTTTATTGTGAAACTTTAGAAAAAAAAGTTTCTTTATAATAATGTTGCAAAGTGATTCTTCCCCTACAAGAAATTTTTTCTTTATTTTATATAAAATTGTAAATGTAATTGAAAAACAATTTATTTCCTAGATTTTAAAATAAAAATTAGGTATTAAACCAAAAAAGAATTACCTTTTTACTGTATTTTAATTTCTATGTTATTGTTACTTTTTAGGCTCCAATAAATTTATAGTAGAACTTTCTTCGAATTCTCCAACACTAAAAGAACTAGCTGAAGTGATTGAAGAAAAATGCAATGTTCCAGTTAACAGGCAAAAACTTGTATGCAAGGGTAACAAGTATTTACTTTCTTCACAAAAAGACTATAAATTAAATTATATAAAAATCTATTAGTCATATTTTTTACATAAGCTTTTAAAAAGGTTCATTGGTTCTCAAACCAGAGTTGTTAACAAAAGCTAGTAAAAGACCAAATGTTGCTAGACCAAGACCACATATTACAAAGTCAAGGTCATAAATTTAAATGTTAAAATTCGCAATTTCAAGATTACAAATTGAGAGGATAAAAAAAGTAAAAATAATGGTTTAAATAGTTTTATATGTGTGCATTGGTCTTAATAGATTTCTAATATAGCTGTCGATTAAAATTAAAATTTGAAAAATACAAAATTTGCATTTTATTTTTAAAATGTTGTTGTCAATGAGGACTATGAAAAATTAAAAAATATAAAACAAAATTAATAAAAATTATAATTTGGCTCAATTTAAAAGGAGTACTATAATTCTACCCACTTTTTTAGATTTGCTTTAACTAGTTAAACATGAAAAAATCTTAAAAAAATCTTTAAAAACCTAAAAAGAAATTTTACAGCAAAGCACTGCCAGTGCTTTGTTGCAACATTTAGAATCTTTTGTTGAATGTTTTTTTTCTCCATTGTTTTAATTATGAAAAGTTATAGATTAAGAACATTTGAAAAAAACTTAATTTGCTTTTATTTACTTTACTTACGATCATTTTTTTTTTCCCAACATCTTTGCTTCTAACAAGGTTGCAAGCAATCACTATTAGAGTTGGAAGTTACTGGAAGAGAAAATATGAAGATTTTAGAGCAAGATAATGATTAGCAGACGACTTAAAAGACTGCAAATTATATGAATTAGGAAAGCAAGATAAAGGAAGAACTGATGTTTGAGGAAAAAACTAGAGGAATAAGAGTTTTTGGAGCACTTAGGAACAGTCACAGAAAAAGGATAAGACTTAATTGAATGACGAGTAACATGAGAATGAATTTTAGTAGATGGCAGTTCTTTAGAGCAGAGAAAGAGAAGCAACATTATGATGATGTAATAACGGTTGAACGGTTGAACAGCTGCAAAAGCAAGTCCAACTATGTTTAAAATGCATTTTTGCACCTTGTCTAAAAGAGAAAGAACATCATTAGAAGTTCCGCCCCAGATATGGCAACTCTACTCCATACAAGGCTAGATTTGAGAATTATAGAGATAGAGAATAGAATCCGGAGTAAGAAAGTGTCGCGCTCGATAAAGAGATGCAACCTTAGCAGATTAGCTAATTTTGCAAAGGATTTGATATATGGTTTCTGAGAAAGATCAGAAGTAAAAGTGAATCCTAGAAGATGCTTTCACTAAATTTAAATTTTGCTAAAGTTAAACTTTAATGAGTTTAAAAACTTTTTGATTATTAATAAGTTAAAGAATAAAAATGATCAATTGTATGCTAGTTATTTTTATATTAATCTTTCTATAAAATTTGTTCAATTAAAGCCTGTTTGCAATCCTCATTGTAATATAGTATTATTAAATCTTGTCCTTAATCTTAAAGGTTTTCGCGTGTTATAAAACTTTTGTTATAATTCTTAACTTTTGATTTTAGGATTTTATAGTATTTAATAAAATCATGTTAAGCTACTTTGATACAAATTAATAATAACATACTATGATAATTGGTACAAATAATAAGTACAACACGCAAACGATACCATAACATAGAAAGCACGGCTTCCAAGGTCAAAATTTTGCAATTAGATTCTGAATATAATAGCATTGATCATATTTTAGAAAATGTGATCAATACTATTACAACAATATACTCTTGTAATAATTTTTAACTATCATATTAAAAATTGAAATATCAATCGTGTTTTATATTGCAATCTTGCAGTGCATAGTGAGGTGCAAAGAATTACATGATAATAAAAGGTTAAGTTGTAACCACATCTTTAACCACAATTCGATTATATAGCAACTAAACTTTCAAGTTAAAGCACAGTCATAAACAATCATAAACACTATTCTTTTTTTTTGTTTTTTTTTAAAAAACACTTCATCTATCAAAGTTTTTTTATTCTATGGTAATGAAAACACTCTATATAGTCAAAGTTTTTTCATTCTGTGGTTATGTATTTTAAATGTGAGAAATAAATTGTTAAACTAAAAGTTGTTTAAAATAAGTTGTTACAATGAAAAGTTTCCCTCAAACAATTTTAATTTTTTGAGGGAAGTTAATTTAAGTTAATAATTTAAAAATTTTAAGGTAAATTAATTTTTTAAAGATTGTTTTTAGATTTTTACTTTATCTTTTAAAGATTGTTTTAAAGTTTTACTTTATCTAAAGTAAAACTTTATCTAAAAAAAAACTTTGGATTGGTGCAGCAATCATTTTTCTGATTAATCTTTGTTTTTATTCATTTTTCTGAAAAAGTTGTATGGAATAAAGTAAGCAAAAAAAGGAAGCTATTGCTGATCTTTATACGCTTTAGCACAAACACATATACACATATATGTAGCAACACTTCTTTGTAGCAGTGTATGTACTGAAGCCCCCAGCAGCTATTTTAGTGTGATGTCCGAGATTTTATATAAATATATATATATATATATATATATATATATATATATATATATATATATATATATATATATATATATATATATATATATATATATATATATATATATATATATATATATATATATATATATATAGGGTGTTAACTAGAAGTAAATTTAATACAGCGTTTTGACGAAATTGGGAATTTGTCAAAAAGTTTCCCATTTATATCCCTTCCCCTCTTCACCTCCCCTGAGATTAAAATGTGTTATGAAAATGTCTGGGGTACTTTTCTTATATTCTTTCTTCTTCTACTCCACTTTAGCGCTGCATACATTGATTGGACAGCGCCAAAAATAAAACAAAATACCGTCTGTAACATTTATTTAAGATGAATATGAAATCAATACAAAATTAAAAGTGGTTTCATAACGACAAGACAAATTAAGCTCCGATTTCCTAAAATATATTCAGAATTATATATTTTTAAATTATAAAATAATTAGTGTGTATTAATTATTTATTAAGAATAATATATTTGATTTACTTTTAATCTTATTATATTGCTGCCGCTTTCATTTTAAGAGTATTCTTTGGAATTATATATATATGTATTTTTCACTGGTGGGCATTAAATTAGCAATTTTTAAAGTAATATAGGGATTTATGTTCAATAAAAATTTCCGTAGAAGAGGGCTAATGATCTTCTACTTTTAATTAATATTCAAGTTCTGTTTGACTTTATGGACAAACCTATACATCATCTTGTAATATATTGTGTCATCAAAAGAAATGTTTTTAAAATAGAAAAATAAAATAGGTTTTGAAAAAAGTACACTCAAGCTTGTAAATTTCATATTTCACATTTATTGCGAGTTCAATTTTATAAATAATATATCGGCGGATTATAACTTCTTAGGGCCCGGGGCTTTTTTTGTTTTTAGAGGCCTTTTTATGGGCTTGAGCCTAAAAATGACTTTATAAAAAAAAAAGGTCCTCTTAAATTTTTTAGGGCCCCTAAATTTGCAGGGCCCGGGGCTATAGCCCCCCTAGCCCCCTTGATCCAGCACTGAATTAATATTAACTTTATTTATACATAAATTGCAAAGCGAAATAAAGTTACAATTACAAAGTCTCAGCTAGAACAACAACAAATGTCGTTTAATTATGAAAGAATTACTAAAGATCGTAAGCGATTGCACGCTATCGTGTCAACAAAGAATACCTATAATTATTTTTTCATGCATTGTCATAAAATGTTATCATGATTATAGTTCATTTAAACATTAAAATTTGCTTCTATGTTTTTAATTCAAGCAAGCAGTGAATCTAGTTTTCTTGTTTTTTAAATTTCTAGTACCAGTTTGTTGTAATAAATAAAATATTCTTGTTATTAAAGGTATTTAATAACAAGAATGTTATTATATATATATATATATATATATATATATATATATATATATATATATATATATATATATATATATATATATTAATATTTTAATACACGTATTTAATTTATTTTTTTAACTATAAGCAACCAGTAAAGTAAAGAAATCTATTTTTCTTATTAAATAAATTTCTAGAATTAGTTTGTTATAATCAAAAATCATTTATTTAACTTATTTAACTTTTCAGCCAAAAATTATTTGCAAACTTTGAGAAAGGAATTTTTTTTTCGAGCGATTTTAGGGATTTTCGGGAAATCCTAATTCTCAAAGTTTTTTGAGAATTGGGATTTGTCCAAGAGAAATTTTTGCAGTTTTGCAAGCGCGTTGTTATTCTAATAGCCGCAAAGTTATTTCAAGTTTTAAACAATAAATTATAATTTTTTATGTTATTTTTCTATTAGTTTTTAATAGTAATTAATTTTCAATAAATTTTAGAATTATTATTAAATGCTACTGAAAATGGGATTTTTTCACTTTTAAATTAAGAATTTTAATTTTATAAGCATTTGGAAATACCGCGTTTGACAGGGCCCCATAGGGCTAGTTTACACCCATATATATATATATATATATATATATATATATATATATATATATATATATATATATATATATATATATATATATATATATATATATATATATATATATATATGCATTTCTATTTATTTAGGAAAGACATTGACTCCATTAACTGCAACTTTAAATGAGTTAAAAGTTTGTACAAAAAGCAAAATCATGGTTATTGGAAAAAAGGTTGTTGTTTTTTTTCAATTTTTATTTATTTTTATTTTAAGTGTAATAATAAGTATGTGTTTGTTGTTTTTTCTGTCACTCTATAAAGAGTCTTCCATAAAGTATGTACACAGGTATGGGGGAGGTGGAGGGTTTACCCAAAAATATATGAATGCATACAAGGGGGTTAAAGATAGAGAGTATGTACGCGGTTTGACTATTTCTCATTCTATATCTCTCCTAAAACACAATTTCTTTTTTTTTAATACAAGTTTTAAAAATCAAGATTATGTTATGTAACAGAGTAATGCTGAATTAAAAGTTTTTTGTTTTAAATAATTTATGAGTTGAAGGTGTGTAAGGAGTTGATTTTGTATCCTTAACTGCATATGTGTGTATTATTTTGATAAATAATGCATATGTACACAGTGGGGGAGGAGGATTGTTGAAAGCATTATGTGTGTACATGGGTAGGGAGTCCTAAACAGTATTTTTACTGCGTATGTACTTTATGATTGGCCCCTAAATATTTCCACTGAATATATATACATTTTTTGAACACCTAAGAGCATAATAATTAATATAATAGTCAGATACAATAGTAACTATATACAACTATATACAATAGTAACTATATACAAAATGCACATTGGAGAAAGCAATTGTCAGTGCAGTCTTTATTTCATCGAAATCTTTTTTAACATTCTCTCTGCAACCTTGATAAACGGAAAATGCTTCACCAGACGGAAATAACCCAGAAGGAAAATAAGAGAATTTTTTGGCAATATACATGGAAGTAATGGTTACAATTGGAAATTGCAGCAGCACAAAAAAGAGAGTAAAACAATGAGACTTGACTTGGAGTCCAGCCATTGGCATAGAACTGGACTTAGAGTCCAGTCAGGCTGGCATGGATCCAAGAAGTTATATAATAACATAATAACAGATTCCATGCCAGCCTGAATCCAAGAAGTTACATAATAACATTTGTCAGCAGGAAGAAGAAAAATTTTTACCCAAGGGCCTTAACAAAAAAAATCACTGAATGAGTCCTAGTCAGCTTTAAGGTAGTTCTAAAAGGTCCAATGATAGGGGAATTCTGATGATGAAGGAGAATGAGATAATAGTTTCAGAGAGATCAAACTATGATCAGAAGCACCTAAAGGTGAATGTCAAGAAACTGAGCACTGACTAGGATCAGAAACAAGACATAAGTCGAGTAGAAAAGGTAAATGATTCAGATTGTCTGGATAGACAACCTGATTCATTTTTTAGATTATCGTAGATTGAGAAAGGCAAAAGTTGTGGGCCTTAACACCTGCAGAGTCACTAACACTAGAACCGAGCCATGAGTATTAAAGTCACTAGCACCAACAATATAGGCTGAAGGATAAAGAGAAAGGGCTTGGGTAATTTGATAAGAAAAAATATTAAAAAGAGTGGGGTCTTAAGATCAAAAAGAGTGATATAGAACAAAGATAAAGGCAATAGATTGAAGTGGTGTTAAATTTAAAGCACATAAAAGAATAGTCTGTTGAATCAAACCTAATTTCCTGACAAATGGGTGAGTTCTAACGAATGTTAATGCCCAGACCAAGCATGTGACTATCGGAGTCTTTACAAATTAAAGGAAGATAACCTTCAACACTAAGATGACAAGATGAGACAGCTTAACTCAAATTGTTAAATTTAATGTTTAATGTTTAACGTCATTTTTAAATAGTTTATTAGGCTTTTTTGAACATTTTTCTTACAATTAGTTATTTAAACAACTGTAATTGGCTTAAAAAGAATCTTCTAGTGTGAAATTGGTTATATATGAAAAATCTAATTTAAAATGCTTAGCTACTGTTACTGATGGTAACTTTACTTAGTTACTGTTTAGTGACGTTTATTAGCTATTTTCCCAGACATTAATTTAACTGATGTCAAATTAAATTGTTTTAACATTCACAACTTTTTATTTGATATTGCAAAAATCAGGTAATATTTAAATTTTTTTTTCTTTTTCTTTTGAGTTATTTTTTAATTTTTTTTTAGTTTTATATTACTATATTAGCCTAATATATTTTATCAAAATTGATTTAAAATATTAAATATTATATTTGATATAAATGCATGTAGCAGACTACATGTCAATGTGGTAGCTATGTTATGGGCCATGGGCTGTGTAGTAGCTATGTTATGGGCCATGAGCTGTGTAGTAGTTATGTTATGGGCCATGGGCTGTGTAGTAGCTATTTTATGGGCCATGGGTTGTGTAGTAGCTATGTAGTATCTATATAACAGGTAATTTAGTAGCATGCTGCATAATAGCTATGTATTAAAATTAACAACAACTTTCCATTTGGAAAGAAAGTCATTTTTTTGTGGCAACTTTAAGCAAATACTGCCTGTTGCAAAAAGATATTTTTATAAGTGTTAATATTCCAAAAATTAAATATAAAATTCCAAAAGTTTGATTTACGAAATGACATAATAATATACAAACTATGTTTTTATTTTTAAATATACTTAATTTATTAATGATTATTGTTTTTCCAGTAAACATCATTTTTTACAAAAAAAAAAAAAAAAATAGGCTGGCTGTAGAGTAACCTTGCTAGCCAAGTGATGTATTGAGTAGAGATGTGGCAGCATTTAGTCTCAAGAGATTTTACTGTTGTATATCTAGGTTCTGTTGTCTAGCTTTCACAATTATTTAGAAAACAATTATTTCTGGTAATATTTAGTGTAATGTAATGTGAACCTACAAATGTTTTATGCTATGCTCCATTTCTTTGCACAATTGTAGTCATATTGTTGTAATGATTTGTGTTGACAGCAAAGCTTACCTTCCCATTGGTGACTAACATTAAAAATGATTGTAGTTAGTTTCATAACTCTACAGAACTGCTATTAATCATAAAAATCAAGTCAACATTTGGTATTACTCTAATAAAATGTAGTTAAATCACTCAATTTTTGTGTTGTTAATAATTTTGCTCTTTAAATAAGATTTTATGGTTAGCTTTATATTTAAGATTGAAAAAATGATATTATAATAAATTTTTGTCAATGTCACTATGTTATTATTTTAATACATTTTTATTAATTAGCGCTCTTATCCAAAAAATATTTATAAACATTTTAAGTTATTAACATATGGCTTTCTTTACAATAAGCTGTCCTCCCTCCCCTTTTCAATAAGCTGTCCTCCCTACCCTTTTCAATAAGCTGTATCTTTATCATGTAGATGGCAGCTATTATAACTGAGTTTGAAAAGTACCTTTATAGCAGAAATTGTGATGCCTTTAACATTAGTTGTTTACCAAGATGAACAAATGTTGACAAATGTTGTGTGTTATATTTTTTATTTTTTATTTTTTTTAAATTCATTACAAAAATGCATATATTTTATTATGTTACATATTTAACTTTATATCATTTATATATTTTAAATAAATTTGATTTTAAGATATATAATTTTAAGGTTTACTGTTTTTATGAATCTTCAAAAGGTTTTTTTTGTAAAAACAAGTCTAAATATATACTTTTTGAAATATATTTATTTTTCAACCTTATCAGTCATTATCTATACAAAAATTGAAGAAAGTTTCAAACTAACTAATTAGCTCAATGGAAAGTTAAAACAAATGCAAGGCAAGATATATTACGAATATTTTCCGCATTTTCAAAATATGGGCCTCATTTAACTAACAGTATTGTTTTTTTTTTTTTTTTTTTTTTTTGTTGTAATTAAATTTTGTCGCCATATCAAATCAAATAAAAATGGCTTTAGTAAAAGAACAGAACAAAGTATCAAAGTATAAAGTTTAAAAAAACAATAGTTAGACAATGAAACTGAAGTTTCAATGTTATAGAAGCCAAAATAATCAGTTTAGCCAACTTTTAATATATCCACTTTATAATGCCATGTGCTTATAACACTTAAGCAATCTAGAGAAAACCGTCAATAAAGATCTCTAATCAAGCTAAGAGCATTACCGTTTACAATTTTCTGTAAGTTGAAACTAACAGTTTAAAGAATAAGTATGAGGTGTGGATCAGGTCTATTATGACCTATCATACATCATGTCTATTAAGACCCATCATACATCCGGTCTATTATGACCCATTTTATGGGTGGAACAGATAATGCTGTAGTTGGAAAAAGTTTAACAAGTACCTTTTTTATTTAACGTTAATCGTAACGTTGATACCAAGATCATTATTATCTACCATTTTATTATCTACCATTTTCTAAATTCTATTGAAATAAGTGGTAGGTGTGAAATGGAGCATAATAATAACAACCATAATAGTAATTGTAATGCAGGTCATATTACAATTGTAATGCAGGTCATATTACAATTGTAATGCAGGTCATATTACAATTGTAATGCAGGTCATATTACAATTGTAATGCAGGTCATATTACAATTGTAATGCAGGTCATATTACAATTGTAATGCAGGTCATATTACAATTGTAATGCAGGTCATATTACAATTGTAATGCAGGTCATATTACAATTGTAATGCAGGTCACATTACAATTGTAATGCAGGTCATATTACAATTGTAATGCAGGTCATATTACAATTGTAATGCAGGTCATATTACAATTGTAATGCAGGTCATATTACAATTGTAATGCAGGTCATATTACAATTGTAATGCAGGTCATATTACAATTGTAATGCAGGTCATATTACAATTGTAATGCAGGTCATATTACAATTGTAATGCAGGTCATATTACAATTGTAATGCAGGTCATATTACAATTGTAACTCTAGTTATTATTAATATTAATTGTACTTTTTGTTGTTGTTAATCATTACTTTTACTTTTTGTTGTTGTTATTACTATTGCTATTGTTATTATTATTATTGTTATTGTTATTGCTGTTACTATTATTGTTATTATTATTACTATTTTTACTATTGTTTTTTTTTAAAAAAAAAACATATTTTCATAACTTTCTCATTTTAAATAAGAATCATTTCTTAAAGTGCTCAAAGACGTCATTCTTGAAATGTAAGGATTATTTTTAGAATACATATGGTTTAGTTTGATTTGATCTAAACTGTTCATCATGATTCTAGGATGGTTAAATAAGGTGTCATAAAACTTCTATTGATAGCCACTGTTGTCACTTAATGATGATTACAACTGTTGTGTAATAACATGAGTGTATAATTAAAATGTTTTGAAAATCTTCTTAGGTTGACTTAGCAGAAGAAGAAGCTCTAAGAACAATAAGAAAAACAAATGAAACTGCTTCTGAATACCTAAAGAAACTTGAAGATATTAAACAAGAAATAGACGGTTTAGAAAAAGTAAGATTGTTTTTTATTTTATAATATTATAATTTAATACTGAATTTAATGCGGTCGTTACCCATTCGTTAGTGTTTGACATAGAAGTGACAACAGCCGTTAATAAAACCAGAATAAATGGCAAAAAAGAGTAGCAGCACTTTTTGTATCAGAAAATGTGAACGAAAGTATTACTTGAGTTGCTACAACATTTCCTTAATTTTGATTTATAGCATTTATTTGCTGTTTTAAAAAGTCTTTTAAAAATTGAAATGCCATGGTTCAAATCCTTGCTCTTCCACTCTTTTTTTTTTCAAATTTCGATTTTTTTAAATAAAAAATAAAATATTTTTGAAGTTCTATAGATATTTTTACTTTTATAAATTTTTACTTTTATTGAAAAATTGCAGCATTATCTCCTTAATTTTATTAAAAAATTGCAGCATTATCTCCTTTATTTTATTGAAAAATTGCAGCATTATCTCCTTTAAATTATCTGTTTATCTTATTTTTTATCATTTATCTTTATTTAAATCATTTGTTGTTTTATAAAGTTATATTTTTTTTCTTTTTTTTAAATAGTTTAAAAAAATGTCAGTTTAGTGTGTCTTAGTGGCCAAAATAGTTAGCTTGCTGCGCTTTGGAAGTACAACATGAGTGTTCATATCCTGTCGATTGCATAATAATTTTTTTCAATCTTTTACAGTTTTCTAAAATAAAAATTAAAATATTTTTAAAGCTATTTTTTGCGCATACCTCAAGATAGAGATACTTAAGTCATTAGTGTGCTTAGGTAATTTGTCTACGCATTCAACACATTAAAGAAACAACTTTTTTTTTATAGGAAAAAAGATTTAACATTCAAACTTTCCTTTTTTTTCAAACTTAAATAATAGGGCAAGCTGCGGGTGGTCTGGAAAAAAATTTAATAAAAACTTAATAGAAACTTAATAAAGAAAAAAAAATTAAATCTGAACCGCTTTTATTTATAGAAGTTTACAATTTTACAATAAGAAATTATAAAATATTAAACATTAATTGTTAATTCAAAACAAAGGTTTGACTTTTTATTTTCTACCACTTAATAGCAGTTTAGGCAACGACTACTAAAATTTTTTTTTATTTATGCTATAAATTATTTCTTTATTCATAACTTTAATAATAACCTTATAAAAAGTAGAAAATATGTATAGTTTTTCTACCGCTTACTAAAAAATGTTGAAGTCTTTAATATTTAATATAAAAAATGTTTAATTTAATATAATAAATCTTTAATTAAAAAACGTTTAATATAAAAAATGTAGAATAACCTAACCAAGACCCGTATTTTACGCGTCCGAAATAACCTTACAAAGACCCGTATTTTACGCGTCCGAAATAACCTTACCAAGAGCCATATTTTACGCGTCTGAAATACTAGTATATAATTATTATGATATATAATTAAGCAGATATATTAAATTTTTTTTTAAATAAATAAATAATATATTGTTATACCTCTAGTTTAGGGTTGAAAATTTCACGGAAATTTTCAATTTGGGAAATAAGACATTTTATTCCAATTATACATTCCGTAATTATTAGTTATTTTGTAATTAATATATATTTATATCTTTTATTTTTATAATAACTAGATAATGATACTAGATATATTAATATATAATTAATTAATACTAGATATGATACTAGATATATTAATATATAATTAATATAGCTAGTATCATTATCTAGTAATTTAATTTGGTTGTCAAGAGCATCATTGTGTGAGGTATAAATTTTTATTCATACTTTCCCAAAAAGTTTGGTGAAAATTGCATCTATTTTTTTTTCAAATTTAGGTCACGCCCCAGTCAAAAATTCGATCTTAGTCAACCTAGTACTAAGCAATTCCGGTTCATTTACTGCTTAAGCAGTTTTTATTTTAATGTATATTTTTTAATTTTTTGAAGGGCTTTTTGGCAAAAGAATTATTGGCCGAAAGTTTAATCAAACTTGAGAAAAAAATCACAATTTTAATTGAAGAATTTATGACATTATTGGATACTTTAGATTCTTTAGTAAGTTATATGTTTGTTAAAATATACAAAGTAGAAAATATCTAAAACAAAAATAACACAAAATTTGAACTCATCTTTCAAATTACTATTAATACGCATTTATTTTAAGGTCTTATTCTTGGATTTGCTTTGGTTTTTTTTCCATCTAACATACTAAGAGTTTGCTTTTAGGTGTTAGAAGAGAGTTTTGTAGATGCACGCAGTAATCGTAAATCTTTAATTTCTAAAATAAATGTAATTATTTTACTAATTATCTTTCGTTTGTTAAATGCAAAAGGTTTTATTATTATTAATAATTAATATTTATATTTGATTAATTACTTGGTGTAGCTAAGGCGATTTACAAATTATTCGAATTCTTTTATTTGGAAATAGTATGATTTTATCAGCGTATTACGTCCAAACAAGAGCTTTAAATGTTATAATTTTTTTTGCTTCAGGTTTTTTAATATTTAAAGAAATTTTTCTTTTTTTAAATGTAATCTTCAAAACCTTTTTATTACCCCCTAATAGTGAATCTAAAGAACACCAGAGTTTTTAGATTTTTCTTCACTTTCGCTCATCGGTGTTAACATGAATTTACTTAAAAATTCTTTTAAAAAAGTGTCTTAACTCGCTATTGATCCTAAAGTTCTAATCGGTTCTGACGTATATTAACTATATATAGTTGTCAAAATACAATATTTCTATCAATTTTTACAAAAAATACTAAAATTCCGACCTAAAAAGAGCTTATAATTAAGAAAAATTGCCAACAAACGATCAGAGCAGATAATATTATGAAACTATGATGTTCATTTTATCTTAAAAACGTATTTATTTAAAATCTTATTCAAAATTGGACAAGCGATTGTGATTTTAAGATATTTAAAAAAAAAAAAAAATCTTCTGTCTGAGTTTTTTCGCTACAAACATATATATTTTATGATACTGCAAAATTTATTTTAATATTTTTCGTCTTTTCATAACTAACAGATATGATCATTTGGCGGTGATATAGCTATAAAATTTTAAAATTGCCTTAATTACACCGAGTAGCAATAATTGTTGATTTTAGTTAATATTTTTGCATGTGCAGGTTGTTTCATTCATCATTTTTTTTTTAAGGATTACATTTCGCAAGCAGACCAGCACGAAGAAAAAATAAAAGAAATATCTAAACTATAGCTTTTAATAAGTGAACCAAACAGTTTACGGAGATGAAATAAGTGACCTAAATACTTGGAGATAAAGTAAAATTGATTAAAATCTTTTTTAAACGGAAAAATTAAACGGAATGTAATGGATCTAATGACGTAACGAGAAAAGATAAGAAAAATGTGTTAATGATTATCATTAAGTATTTTGAAAAACATAAACCCTGTTAAATATAAATCTCTTATAAATATAACACCCCGTTTTATATATCTCTTATAAACATAACACCTCGTTATATATATATATATATATATATATATATATATATATATATATATATATATATATATATATATATATATATATATATATATATATATATATATCTTATAAATTCATAAATTTGAATTTATTTAAAATTAGGTTTTCTAATCATCGCCAGAAAGATAGACCAAATAATTTAGTTAATTTATCCATAAGAACAAAATTTAAGGACTAGGTTAAGAACAAAGCCATCAATTTTAAATTGAAACCAAAACGATCTGGTCACGAATTTATAACTCTTAATTTTTAACCATTATTGTGTTGCCAAATCTTTTTTAGTTAATACAAGTTTTCTAGCATTCCAGTTGCTTTGCAGTTAGTTACTAGTATTTAAACAATGTTTTATATAAACTAGATGTCTAACTTGATTCTAATGATTAGATAAAGATAGATGTCTAACTTGATTCTGATTATTAGATAAACTAGATATCTAACTTCGATCCGAAAAGTGATCTAACTTCGATGCAAAAAGTGGTGGTGAAAAGCTTTTGCCCTTTTTACAAATAGCTGACTGAATTTGTAAACAAATATTATTTAACTTTTTTTTTCTTAAATTAAGTAAATATATTTTAAATATAAATACTATTTATGTAAAAGTGTTAGGAAAAGAAATTAGAATACTTGTAAAATATTAATTTATGTGTCCTAAATTCATTTCCGATTAAAAAGAGATTAAAGTTTTTAAAAGTGAAATGACAGACGCTTTTGAAGCATTTTTATGAATTAAAATGCTTTTTTTATGAATTATAATAATTTTTAATGCTCTAAACTTGCATTTTTAAATTTTATTCCACACATCGGCTTCAGCTTTTGCTCTTTTTCCAAAAGACGGATATATATATATATATATATATATATATATATATATATATATATATATATATATATATATATATAAAACTGTTTAGTTACTTTTTAAAACATGTTAAAATAAAAAGTTTCCCTCTCAAAGGTTGCTGTGATTTTTGTAATAACTTCTTTTACGTATTAATTTGTGTTTTTGATCAAAAATAGCAGTGTTACAAATTTCTGTCATTGCTTTCGAGTCCTTAATACAATTTTCCCGCCCATACTAAGCCCCTCCCTTCCTCGTTTAATAATTTTTACTTGTTATCAACAAAAAAATTTATATCTCAAAACTGAAAAAGAAAAAATCATTGAAAATTGGCCTTAAAAATTAGAAAATAATTATTTCAGTCACCGATAAAAACAAAAAATTTCAGCGTAAACAGGCTTTAAAAATCATCGACCTGGTAAATCTCGGTTTGTCAAAAATGAGCTTTTGGTTTATTTCTCACCAGAGTTCTAGTGAGAAATAAGAGAAAGCTTTCTAATAACTGCTCTCTAATACTCTGCATTGTATTAAATTTACATCAGTATATTAAATCTTAATGAAATTATGATAAAACAGCTGTTAAAAAAATGTGCATTTGACCCCAAGCCCCGCTAGAAATTGTTGCATGAGCATTTTGTATAAAATATTAGTTTGGATTTGTAAATTAAAAAATACTTATATTCTAACATGGGGTTAGATCAGAAATTTTCGCGAACTGACCGAGATAAATATAGTTTAGAAAAAAACACTTTTATTTAACCCCTACCGCCTATTTTATTAAATCTGGACTAAGCTTTCCGTCCCCTACTCCACCCCGTTGCCCATTCTTCTCCTTTTATTTATATCCCTTTTTGTATTAAGGACTTGAGAGTACCTTGTTTGGAAGGCTGACAAAGTGTTTGATTGTTTAAAATAATTACATTTCAATGTCAAAACCTACATGGTCTCGAAACATTTTAAACCCCATATAGATGTAACTTTGTAGCAAGGGATCGTTCATAAACTACGCAACGCTAAATTTATTTAAAAAATAGAAGTAGAAGATCTTGCACTTTTTTACGGGGCAATTTTCATTAAACTTAATGCGCTAATTTGATTTTTTATTTAACTGAAGGCTCTGCAGGTAAAACTTCTCTTTTGTTTTGTTTGTTTGTGAAATTTAAGAATAACCTTTTAAGGCTGTCTTTTTCTCTTAGTCAGCTGATAAAATTTTATTACAATAATTTGTTAGTCTGCTGATTAAACTTGATTAAATTACAACAAAAATTAAAAAATTAGTGCTTTTGAAAAAATCTCAAAAGTAAAGCAACAGCTAAAATAGCGACTCTTATTCACACTTTTAACAAAGATATACTAAAATGCATATTGGGGATTCTGATAATATAATTATTCCCGATACAGATATTAAAAGACATTTGGCAAACATATTTAAAAACTTTTAAATTTTAACACGTTTTATATATAAAATATATATATATATTTTTTTCTTCATCAATTAAACTTTTTTTTTACATATTGTTAACTTAAAAGATATGATTGGAACATGCAGAAGTCAATGGTTTCATTATCTTGCCCCGTTAGTTTCAAATGTATTTTATAATCAATAAAGTATAAAATAACCACAAGTTGTAAGATATTTGTGGCACATATATATTGTACATATATATATATATATATATATATATATATATATATATATATATATATATATATATATATATATATATATATATATATATATATATATATATATATATATAATATATATATATATATATATATATAAAGTACACATATATATACAAAGAAAATAGCCAAGTAAATAGCTAAGTAAATATATTTTTATAAATATGAATACAAGTATGCATTTTTATAAATATAATTATAAACGTTTCCAGAAAAAATTTTAAAGCATGTAAAAGTTCTAAAAATAAAAGAAAGTTTCAGTAATGTTGAGATCAAGTTACAAATAAAATGCGTAGTGATTACATGATTATAATCTAGACTAGATGAGAATTCAGTTTTAAGAAATTTCTTATTTCTAATGACGCTGACATTTGATTTCATTTACGAGCAAGTCACAGATTAAAAAAGTCTTTCAATATGTGCTTGAGTTGCAGGAGCTCCAATGAGGTCTTTCAGCTAATGGTGCAATATGTTGGTAAAAGGCCAGTCTCACTTTCCAGGAATTTAAAGCATTTTAGCACATAGAGCTGTTCCTTATTTCAGTAAAATACTTGTTGAGTTTATTTTGTGCTTCATTACCTGGAACAAGCTTTATTTTATCTGCTTGCAACTTTGGCGCTAAAAGGTTTCATTTTGTTCATGCATTGCAGCAATTCATTGCTGGATCAATCTTATCAGAGACAGCAGATGCACTTGCTGAAAGAAAATCGTGTCGCACCAATATTTTGGCCTCTGACAAAATGTATGTCTTTGCACACTCTCTGATTTGTGTATGCTCTATATCTAATAGAGTTAAGATTGTTTGGCTGCAAAAGAATTGCAAACTGACGGCGTAAATATACAAGCATTTTAAATGCTACATCTTTGACATCATTTGGCATTCAAATTGCTCAAAGTGGCATTCTAAATTAAGTATCGAAGGTATAACACTGGATAGAGAAAGTGCATCCGTCTGGATATTATCAGTTTCATTAGCAAAAGGTTCTAAAGGATTGACAAAATCCTGCAGCATTATCCATTTGCTATTGGCAACTGAATCAATGTTAAGATCACCAAGCACTTCGTTGACAGATGTCTTTATTTCTAAAAATCTCCGAACCATAATGTAGGGGAGAGTGGGGCACAGCTGAACAAAAATTGTTTAATTTTGATTTACTAAAATTATTCTGCTTGTAACTTTACTCCGAAGTTTAATACAAACAAAACTATCTTTGATGGAACTAAATTATGTCCAAGAAAGATAAAAACAGTTGTATTTTGTTGGTGACAGGGATGGGGCACACTTGAGTTTAGAATTTTCTACAATTGATTCCCATGACAAATTTTCTAAATATATGAGTTACAAATCTTCTGATGAAATCAAAAGTATTCATGATATATCGACAAACTTTCCAGAATTCACAATTGTTATGTGAATTGAAAAGTAATAATCTCAATTTGTTTACACAAGCTTCACAACAAAGAATATTTATCCGAATTTAATTAAATACTAACATGATCAGTGTAACACTGTACAACACAACAATCTACTACCTTCAAAAGTAAGCCATTTTACAACTAGCTGTATAACATATAAAATCCTAATCGTCTAAATGTTTTTAACTACCAAGTCAACTTGTTCCCACTCTTCACTATTTGTCATATTCTGAAAAATAACATAATAACAAATATCATGTCATTTTTGTTATTAAGGTTTTCTTTAATATAAATTCGATAAAACTAACATTGGATCAGCGTTGTATTTGCATCGAAGAAAACAGCGACGTTGGAGATTTATTTAAATACGTTGGCCCAACGTAAGTGTGCTAGCTGGGATATGTCTGACTTCGATAGTTTTGTGAAAAGAATGTACTTGCTTTTGTCTTCGTTCAAGAAAAGTTTGTTTAACCAGTGGCTTGGCTTTTCAAGTTCCTAATTAACTATATTAGTATTTGAGTGGGTGCAGAAAGCTTAGGTTTCATCTGTAAAAAGAATAAAGTTAGTATAAGAGAGTATAAAAATATGTTATTGATATAGATAAGAAAAAGCTAAAGACCTAGAGTGGATCCCTGGTGTTAAAAAGTGTAAGTATTATTCTAATATAAGGTTAGTTCTTGATTGTTAAGATAGCAACTAAACCATTTTAAGTATTTATTACACCACAATTACGAAGTGTATAGAATATTACTTTGTATAGAAGGATTTCGTCATCCACTGTATCGAAAGCCTTTAACAAATCGATAAATACTTCAATTTTATATTTATTTTTTGTCAAACTCTTTCAAGATAACTAACTTTATTACTGCATGTTCAGTTGAATGGTTTTTTTTAAATCCGCATTGGTTATTAAAAAGGATACTGTAATTTTGGAGGTATGTAAAAAGCCTATAGTACATCATACGCTCAAATACTTTTGAGAAGCATGGAAGTATGGAGAATAGACCTACAGTTTGATAAAGTAGAGCTGTCTCCGCTTATGAATATACTACTCGTGCTAATTTTTAGAGTTCAGGAAAAACTCCACTTTTTAGCAAGAGATTAGAGATAAACAGTAATGGGTATTCAATAACATCATTTATCTGAGAGCCTTATGTCATCAAAACTCGGACTCTTTTTTGATTGTTTTGTTTTAAAAGCATTTCGAAACTCATCAGACGATAAGTCAAACTCGTCCATTACAAAGTCTTCTTCTTTTAAATATGATTCAAATATTTTTTTTACTTTGAGTTATTTTATTAACTAGTGTCTTTCAGTTGTTTATAAAATAATTATTAAAGCTTTTAGCAATGTTTTTTTGATTATAAATTCATCAGTATTTATTTGGTTTGGCAGGATATAACCTGGATCAATCTTTTCCATTTCTATTACTTCTTTTGTCCCATATTTTTTGTTAGTAACTATGCTATTTTGTATAAGATTCAAAAAAATATATATATTTTTTTTGAAGAGTTTATATTTTTTCTTGGAAGATTTTATGAGGCCTTGAGAATTGGACTTAGATTTTGAGCTTGATTCTTTCTTGCTACGGAAATGATTTTTCATTTGCGTTACTGAACTCACAGATAAAATATTTATAACCTCGATTTTCATCTTTGTAGTTAATTAGTTGTTCCTAAATTAGTTTTTAGGCCCGTGGTTCAAAGCCTGCTCTAGCCATATATGCATCATTGGTAAGGGCAAAATATTGAACTTCCTGGTTAAATGATATTTCGCGGTGTCTGTGATGAGACCGTTAGGACTTCTTGGAGCACCTAAATAACTAAATTAAAAAAAAAAAAGATTAAATAAAAACTATACATTAAATACTTTAAATGTAAAACAAATAAAAAATAAAGTTATATATAAAAATTAAGTAACCTTTTTGACCACCTTAAGAAAAAGCAAAAAAAATAAATAAATGAATAAACAAATCTATTAGATTGATATAAATACTAAATGCACTTGGTTTATAATAAGAGAAGTTATTGGTAGCAAAAATATTAAGTCATACCAATATTAAAAGGTAGTGACATTAAGAACATTAATAACTATTGTCCAATTTTACTATTTTATGTATTCTCAAAAATTTTAGAAATTTTGCACAACAAATTATGTAAGCATGTAACAATCTACAAATTATTATACAGAAATCAATATAGTTTTCAAAAAAAAAACAATTCTACTGAAATTCTTCATTTTACTTAAAATACTTCTTTACTTTAGAAGTTTTCTTTGATTTGGCGAAAGCCTTTAATACTATTGATCATGAAATTAAAAAAAAAGTTAGAGTAAAACGGAACTATTGAAAATATAAAAACTTGGCTAAAGAGTTACCTAACTAATCGAAACCATTATGCGGATGAGAGAGTTTCATCTAATTTGTTAAACATTACATGTGGAGTTCCTAAAGGTTCTATATTAGAACCTTTCCTATTTTTGATATACATTAATATTATAGCTAAAGTTTCTAACCTGATGTCTACTATGTTTGTTGATGATTTTTTAGCATCGTAAACATTGAACTAGCAAGAATTTCTGAATGGTTCAGATTAAACAAGTTATTATTAAATATTGATAGAACTAAATGGATAAATTTCCATTCTTATGGAAAAAAGCACCTGCTGCCAAGTAAATTGCTTTTACTTTTTATTAATGGTACAATTATTAAAAGAGGTGTTATACGAGTTTTTTTTAAGTATTTATACCAATGTAAACCTTACATGAAAACAAGAATGCTAACTTGTGCGATAAAATTATATTCGCTTTATGCAAAACAAGAGACTTTTTTTATTATATATTACTTCATAATAAGTCTGGATTTCGCGGTCCAATTTATGAAATAATATTAAAAAAACTCATTTTTCTAACTAAAAATATATGAATATAGAGTTAAATTTTTGAAAGCCATATTTTCTTCTTTTTTTTTTATCAACGAGCGTTTAACATGTTTAATTTGTAACGTGCTGTGGCGATATTACTAGAGGAAAAGCCCCCCACAGAAGTTGATTTTCAAAGTGTAGTCGGGCTTTTTGAGGTATAGTCGGTTACTCAGATATTTGACACATCTTAATCGGGAGAATCTTAGTTTTGAGGGCCTTTTTTTTTTAACGGAGCTTTTAAAAGAGTCGGTACTTTTTAAAGATTCTCTGCCCTTCCTCCTCTCATTTTATTCGTATTATTTGCCTCTGGTTATGTAATTAATTTTTTCTTTTTTTTTAACTTAAAGTTAATGTATTTATCAAAAAGAAGTTGTTTAACACATTTGTTAGCGAATCTCGACCTAATTTCTGCGTTCTTTATTTAATTGTTATTACTTTTTCATTTCTTTTTAACGAAATGTTTATTTGTAGTTATTTCGATTACAAAACTCGCGAAATTGTTTTTATTGTTGTTGTATACATCTTTTTAAACTAATTAAATATGCGTTTAAAATAAAATTTTTTGTCGATATGAGCGGTCAATATGAAACGTTAATATGAATATGATATTAATATGAAAATAAAATATAATATATGAAAAAATACAATATCAATATAAAATAAAATTATTGGATTTAAATTGAAAAGTAATACATAAAAATCAGGATGTGTTAATGTTCGTAAGTAAATTACTTACATTACGAACATTAACAAAAGTGATGTTTTTTTAATTTCGTGGATCTCCCCTCCACCTCTTTTATATCATAATGGATTTAGCCCTGAACAAATCGGGGTGTGTAAACATTTGTAAATATCAAATCATAGTGTGCAATTGTTTTTGAAAATCAAATCAAGGTTACTATAGGTAACTAACGCGCATTAAATTGTAAAATGCTTCAAATAGCAACAATAAAACAATGTTGCAATGTTATTTTTTTAGGCAAATGATAGAATCAAAAATTTAGATGTCTTCGTACGTCTGAACCTGCTGGGTGGTTTTTAATTCTATCGTTTACCGTTGCAATACCGCCTTTACTTGTGTCATCACGTGCATTTGGCGGATTGCTACGTCGACAGAAAGGCTATTTTGTTTAAAAAAAATTTTTTTATTGAAATAAAAATAAAATCATGTGGAAATAATTAAATTAATGAATTGAGTATTTGAATTAACTTTCATTTCTTTAAATTGCAAGTCAAATACTAAGAAAAATTAACACTGAGTGTCTGGTTGTTTGTTTTGCTGAAACCAAATATTGTCGAAAAATATTTCAAAGCTAAACATGGTTAAATTTTTTTTTAGTTGGTGATTGTGCACTGATTTTTCATTACTAAACCGAGTTGAAGAATTAAGCAGCAATAAAAAAAAGTTTATTTTTATGATGCTTTTTTCAGGTCAGTACCAGATTTTTTGGGGTCTGAGGCTATTATATAATAGTAGGCCTTAATCTACCATAACACCGTAACAAAAAACTTCTTGAAAAAATGGAGCGCTGGATTAGGGGATTCCTTTTATTTCAGCGCTGCTAGAGGCCAATATATATATATATATATATATATATATATATATATATATATATATATATATATGTATTGTAAATTTTATTTTTAGTAAAAAGAGGAATAAACTCAATATTCAATTATTATTTGCGGTTTAAAATAAAATCTGGCTGAAACAAGAAAAAGAAAGGTTCTCTTATTACCAAGATGCGTTACATTAGTAGTTTTTAAACGTTTAAAAAAATAAAAATTCAAATATTTCCAAAAACAAAGACCTCTGTATTGAATATGGTAAAAAATTTATTTTGAGTACGGTTTATCAATAACTTTATTTAAATAAGTTTGATAAAATCTGAATATTTGTTTTAAATTAAAATTATTATATATATATGTATTTTTCTCTTTAATTTTTCGAGAGGTTTTCAAAATACTGATCTTTTCTTTATAACTTGGTCGTTTAACATTATAAAACTTTTTGTAAATCTTCCAGTAGGTACAAGACATATTTTAACCTAAAACTATACGTATTAATACATTTTAATACGTGTTTTAGACGTCTAAAACCTGTCTTGTGCCCACTGGGTTGTTGGTTAGTTTCATGATCTTTTTAGATGCTTATTTTGAAGAAAACCATAAATTATTTTTCTTTGGAACGATTGTTGGACGTCTTAAAAACGACAAACAGACTTGCGACGTCTTTAAGACGAGGTATAAACGTCTTATAGATGTCTGTGCCTACTGGGTGAAGTCATTAGCTTTTTTCAGATATATTTAGCTTTTAATCAGATTAAGAAGTAAAACCAATTAAATTGATGTGATCATGTGATCAAAGCAATTTGTGACATTTGATTGCATCTAAAAATTTGTTAAAAGTCAGCTTTAATAATGATAAATGTTCAACTGTAGCAGAATTGAATACAATCCTGAAAAATCCAAAGCCATATAGACTAACGCTTATTGCCGCCCCTCTACACAGTTACTGTATTAAGTAAGAAACTTAGTTTTTCTTTTAAAGAAATTTACTTTCTGGTATCAACTACTGAAGATCGCATGAAATACGTCTTTTTTTATAAAGTAAGGACTGTTTGTTTCTGCACTATTGACGCTTTTCTTTAAATGTAATTTTTTACTAGTCAATTATACATTTGTAAATACATTCTTTAAAAATGATGATATTTCATAAAAAAGATTTCAACTTCTTTTTAAAAAAAGCTCGTGTTTTTTTACGTAATGGTTTAGTTAAAAGGATATACACCACTGGATTTGTTGATGATACAAACATTGGTAGAGCCAGAATAAACCAATTCCAAATGCCATTAAAACGTTGATTTTTCAGAACTTCGTTTACATGAGTAAACGTAAAAAACATCCAGCAACAGAGAAATGGTAAAACCATGGCAGCAATATTTACCGAAACTTTTATTTCTTTTTGCCGTAGTGTGTGAATACTCCATCCAGAGTTTGACTTCAATTTAACTTGAGCGGAGTCTGCAATAAACTTTGCACATTCTTTATCGTGTCTGATTTTTTTAAAAGCAGACAACGAAATAACCAAATAAGAAAAAAACACAATTACCATGGGGAAAACTAACAGAGTAAACAAAAAAGTGTAAATAACAAAATTTTTATACAACGTTGACTGCACGTGTATACGAAGTAAAGATATAGCCAAGTTACTCATGCCCCACAACCATACTACTATTGTTACAATTTTGGCCCTTCTTGGTGTAAAAAAGATTGTGTATTGAAGAGGCCAAGTTACGGCCATTGCCCTTTCAATGCTAACTACGCAAATTTGTAACATTGATATAGATACAAAAAAGATATGAGTTGAAGGCATTAAAAACTGGCTCACGTTCTTTGAGAGATTAGGATTTCTTTTTTGGTACACTGCTAATGTAATAAAATTTATTATCACTCCTATGTCAGCAACTGATAGGCTACCCAAAAAGTAACTAGTCTGTTTAGGCAAGATATGATGACGAAGGTTTAATGTTAAAATTAGGAAGTTTGCTGGAAGACCAAGTGGAACACATAATCCAATTAATACATATGAATAGATTAGATAAGAGGAACAAACTACATTAAAACCTTCTTGTTTAATATGTTTTTCTAAAAATGTAAAGCACATTTGACTTAAGAAATCATTTTTACAGCAGAATTCGTTAAAATATTCTTTCGAGGACAATGAGCTGTTGAAAGTGCTGATTTTTTCACAAAAGTATCGTGCTGCTTTTATTTTTTCACTTCCTACGGTGGTTGTATTGCCAAACACATTCATTAACAACTCAGTGCAATTTAATGCTGCGTCGACCATTTTTTGATATATATATTTTTTAATATAATTTTTAAATATCATGAAGAAATTAATAACACCTAAATTTCTTCTAGCTAAAATAAAATTAAAAAATAAAAATAGTTGTGTGTTAATTTAATTCATTAAACATTTCAAAATATTTTTAAAGATTGTGATAAAGATGGAATGTAAAGTTCTAATTAAGTTTTTTGTAATTCGTTTCAATTCGATCAAGTTGTTTAACATATTGCAAGTATTGTATTCTAAAAACATCTGAAAACTGTGCTATTTGAATTTCTTTTTTCAGTATAACCGACCAACCAACTGGCGGTTTCTTTTCTTAGAGGGATTATATATTTTTCCAAATTATTGAGATTTTTATATTTTATATCATTAATTCATACTTTTGCGATCAAAGCAACTAGAGGTAGAATTTTAAATTAGGTTCGTAATACACGGTCCTAACTCTATCTATCATATTTTATATCTATCATATTATATATAAATAAAAACTGTCTTTACAACTTGAGGAGAAAAAACTATTTTTTATATATTATATATTATATATATATATATATATATATATATATATATATATATATATATATATATATATATATATATATATATATATATAAACATTTACACATACATACATACATATATGTATGTATGTATAAATATATACATACATATATGTACATATATGTATGTATGTTTAAATATACACATATATGTGTATATATAAATATATATACATATATAAATATATATATATATATATATACACACACACACACACACATATATATATAAATATATATATATATATATATATATATATATATATATATATATATATATATATATATATATATATATATATATATATATATATATAATATATATATATATATATATTCTAATACTTTTTGACACTGAGACATTTTGCATAATATATTTTATACCTAATTAAATATATAGATTTTAAAGAAAAACTGTCATACATATTTCATTATGACCCAGCTGTTTTTTTATTTTATTTCTATTTATTTTTTTACGTCAAGGATATTAAATAATAGATTTTAAAATAATAGATAGTATCTTCAAAGGATACGATGTATTTCCTAAAAGGACCTTAAGGCTTAATTATAGCTTGTATAATAAAGATAACTCTAAAATAACAAATGATTTACTTTCTTTAAAGTCAAAAACAAACGAGGCGTTTGTTTGAGGCAACGATGTATTTAGAAACCGACATCTATAAAAAAAAGTACGAAAAAGAACTTTAGTAAAATGTTAAATAATAAATATACTCATGAAACTTTTTAGAAAGATGGAAATATTTTGATAACAATTATCAATATTCATCTTGTTTCCCATTACTTCTTTGTAAAAATTATTTGAGTCACGAGAAAAAAATAAAATTTTTAAATTGTATTTTAAAACAAAATCAACAATACAATTGTGCATATTTGCTGACTTTTTACTTTACTGGTATTTTTTAATAGTAAAAAATAAGAAAATCCTAGTAATTATTATAGTGCTGGCTTTATCTGGCTTTAATCTGGTTTTATTACAATATTTAGTTAGTCTTATTGCTATATTTATTAATATATTACTTATCTCCTGATTTTCATATTATTACTGTTTACAGAAACTTTCATGTTATATTATCTTGAATTCATTACTCAGCTTTGTTTTAATTTTCACATGCACAATTTTCATCTTTACTATTATTCAGAGAATATTTTTATATCCTTCATTTAATGTTTACATATATGTCGCTTACATTTTTAAGGTTTTTGTGCAACGTGGTCCAAAATGGTCCAAATTTTCTTTAGTGGTTTTTAAATTCCAATCTTGCTTGAGTCATATAAGCGTAAATGGCTTAAAAAAAAACGATCTTATCAAGTTATATTCTTTTAACAGAAAGCTTGCAAATGGTTTAATTTTTAGGTTACCTGAAACAAAAGCAAACAAAAAAAAAATGATTTTTAAAGCATGTTTTTAGTGAGTGGGGGCGCGTACGCGTATATGTTAGCGTGTTTTTTATATATCAGATTAGCAAAACTCTAGAACGTTGTTTACTAACTTAGTAAGTAACTTTCTACACCACTGAGCACTTTAAAAGTAGATTAGATTCCAGGTTTAAGAAAAAAAAATTTCTTAAACCTGGAATCAGGTTTTACAAAAGAATCAGGAGCAAATATATTTCAACTGATTGTTTATAGCGAGCTGTTTTTTCTGCTTGCTGTATATATTTATTACTTAAGCTTTAAGTGCAGTTTGTTACGAAATAGATGGCGTGTTTTGTTTATCTTGTTCAAACCGCATTTATTTTATTAAATCGGGTCCGTATTTTTATTTTATTATTATTATTTTTTATTTTATTAAGGTTCTCTAAGATGTCTTTACGGTCTTATCACAGAGCACCGCGGAATAGTACTTAATTAGGAAGTTCACGCCTCTATTCTTACCAAAGATGGCCAGAGTCCAATGAATGATGGCCAGAGTAGGCATTGAACAACGAACTTTTATTTTTGTTTAGTTTTGTATTGTTCTTTTAATACATTAAAAAAAACTCCTTTATAGAGTATAAAATACAGAAATATAATAAAAATTTACAAGAACAATATTAAGAAATAGAAGAACGCGGTGACTCGTAAAAGATTGTATAAATGAATGTAAGGTCTTATCGTCGCGTAAGTTCTTGTCGTCGAGAACCGCTAAAAAGATTACTTGTTAAAACTTTACATAATAAAATTTTCACAAAACAAATAATGAAATTTACAATGAAGAATAAGAAATAAAAGGACTCGAGCTTTCAAGCTTATATGCTAGTAGATAAAAAAAATATTTTAGAATTAAAAACATAAACAGTAATTGAAAAAATTATAAAGATACATTATACTGTTTTGTAATTGCAAAAAGTTTTAAATAACAATTAATAAATTGTTAATTTTACATGAGGTTAAAAGAAAATAGATATACCATTTAATAAAAAATGCCTTTTTTAAGTTTTGTTTGAAAGCAAGATAGAACCCGACGGGCATTTGTTTTTAAAAGTTACGTTCTAAATGTGTTTTAAATGTGTTTTAAACGTCTTTTAAACATTAATGTTTAAAAGACGCTTAAAAGACATTTAAAATACATTTAGATTGTAACTTTTAAAAACAAATGCCCGTCGGGAAGAGTCAGAGTTATTTAAAACTATTTTATTGCAAAAAAAAGCTCCGCGAAATGAAAAACAATATTTTCCAAAATTTGTTTTTTTAATTTTATTTAGGTGCCCCAAGAAGTTCCTACGGTCTAGAAAAAAGCACCGCGGATGAGCATTTAATTGGAAGTTCACGCCTTCTTCCTAACCGATGTTGCAAAACTTGCCAAGATGTGGAGTTTGAATCACGGATCCTTTGACTATTGATGTTATCATTGGTCAAATAGACACTTGATTGACCAATTTTGTTATCATTTGTTAAATTGTGCTTAGTTTTTTCTTTTTCGGTATACAATTTATGAAAGGTAATGGGGATAGATTATTTTTATATTTAAACCTAAAGTAAATAATATTAAAAATGTAAAGCTGATATATATTAAAATCTTTCTTTTCAATTAAAAGGCTCGGCATAAATAAATCGATCTTTGAAATGAGGCGTGCAAAATGTTTCTGCTGATGATAAAGAGGTTCGAGTTTATTTTTATCAGTACTACCCCACGCACTGTTTGCATAGTTTATGTGACTGTGAACGAGTGAATAATATAGTTTAAGTAAAGTGTACTTATTTAGAAAACTCCTTGTTTTATATAAAACTCCTATGCTTTTTGATATTTTACTTCTCAAATTTTTTATCTGATAACTAAGTCAGATTTTCATCAATATAAATTCCAAGAATGTTGTTAACTGCAACTTTTTTAAAAACTATATTAATAATAAATAGAGGCTGCATATCATGTTTTTCATCATGTCATCTGGTATAAAAAAACCAATCAGAAACTCTTACTAGTTATTTATTCATATTATGAAATAGTAATGTATTATATTGTGAGATAAAAATGAAATAGTAATGTATTATTATTGTGAGATAAAAATAAGTTCGTGTCGTCTGCAAACATAATCGTCATTAAATTTGAGGTGTTTGGAGATTGTTAATGTAAATAAGAAAAAGAAAAGGACCTAATATTGATTTCTTGGCAATTTCACAAGTTATAACAAGCAAATTTAGGGGTAAAACTACATTAACGTATACAAATTGCTTTCGTTTATTTAATTAGTTTTAAGCCAATTTAAAACAACCGCCTATAATTTATTAAAAAAAATTTTCTGATCAATTCTATCGAAAGCTTTAGCTAAGTCGATAAAAATCCTAACTGTATATTGGGAACTTTTAAAAGAGTTAGTACTAACTCTAATAAACTGAAGAATCGTGTGTTCTATTAAGTTATTATTTTTTTAAATTCATATTGTTTTCTATATATTAAATTGTTTATAGATAAATGTTTATAAATTCTATTATATAAAATTCTCTTCAAGATTTTTGAATACGCGGATAAATCGCCTTCCCTATTTTTAGTTGGTTAGGAAAAACTCCTTGCCTGATATTACAAGAAATAATGTTTAAAAGTTTTTAAATTAAAATGATTAATAACAATATTTAGATTGATATCATCCTCACCAACTTATTTATTTGGTTTTAGCATTTTAAATTCAATTCAATCTCCTCAAAAGTTAGATTAAATGAATTCATTGTTATTGTAACGCATTATAAATTATTGCATTATCTAATGGATTATATGCTTGTGGAATTTGTTTGGATAAAATAATTAAATTTGGATAAATTTCGTCCAACAGAAACAGTTCAGCTCATTAGTTATTTCTTCTTGATCATGCAAAATTATTTATTTTAATGGTTTTAGGCTATGTACATTTTTTCATTTAGAAGACTTCCAGTTCTGAAGCCAGACCTCTAACTACTACACTACTGCTACACATCATTACAACACACACACACACACACACACACACACACACACACACACACACACACACACACATACACACACATATATTGTTTTTTGTTTTAGGTGTAC